GAAATGAGGACCCGGATTGTGGGGGCGATATGCTGACTCTGTAAACCGCTTAGAGAGGGCTGAAAGCACTATGAAGCGGTATATAAATCTAACTGCTATTGCTATTGCTATAGTGACCGTTTGCAAATACAGCACTAATAAAAAGTGACTAAAGAATTAATCTTCTGACTCCTGTACGAATTTACAACCAAATTTGGTGCACCTGACAACAACAACATGCCAGAGTGGGAATAACAACAGAGAGTAACAATTTTATCTGAATGAGACAGACACAACCGGTGACCTTCCCAGCATCTTTATCTTGATCTCTGCGGTGTTTTCTTAATAACAATTTCCCTAATGACCTGGTTGCTGGAATTTGGTCACGAAATGAGGTGTATGTGCATACTGCAGAGTGGAGGCTCTTGAATCAATTCAGTTGTATTACAAGGCTCCTTTCTAAAGTGAAGATGATGATGTTATCCATTCAATTGTGTTGGACTATTGGCGGGTTCACCGACAAAAGGGCGAATGACAGAACCGCGCCTGACTAAACTGCGGTGACAAAACTGCGGTGACAAAACTGCGTGTTCTAAAGCGCTCCAACGAATGAGCGCTGAATCGCGGGGACAACAGCATGGCGACAGAAGCGCGCTGTAAAACTAAAACTAAACCTAACCCTAAACATAATGCTAACCCTAAACCTAACCCTAACCCTAAACCTAACCCTAAACCTAACCCTAAACCTAACCCTAACCCTAAACCTAACCCTAAACCTAACCCTAAACCTAAATCTAACCCTAAACCTAACCCTTACCTTAAGTTAAACCGGCTTTCTGTTGACGCGGTGTTGTAAAGCGTCCTTCTGTCTCCGCGCTGTTTTCACCGCGCTGTTGTCGGCGCGTTGATGACGTTGCGGTTTAAGCAACGCGGTTTAGTCAGGCGTGGTTTTGTCGTTCGCCCTTTTGTCGGGTCACGCTATTGGTGATTCTATGGACCAAGTGTCTCCATGCCTTCTGATCTTGCATTACGTCTTTAAGTTGTTCTGGGCTCTGGCTGGTGTCAGCTTTGATGATGTCCAGCCATCTTTGTCAGCCTGGTTTCCTTTTACCATTAATACTTCCAAGCATAATTTTTTTTTTTTCCCCAGTGAATCTTGCTGAGGTATCCGTGCCATTTGGAGATTTTGTCCCAACAGATATCAAGATTGTACTTGGAGTTATTTCAACTCTTTCACCAGTAATGATATTTTCCCCGCTCTAATATTAGTAGAGTGGGGAGAACATGAAGTATGGCTGATTGTATTACTATTAGTAATTTTATTCTATATTCACTTGATTTATTTATCCTATTTTCATACAGATTTCTGATATCCATGTTACTGGAGAGTCAGAGGACATGTCTGCTAAAGAACGATTGCTTCTTTGGACGCAACAGATAACAGAAGGTTATGCTGGAGTTCGCTGTGAAAATTTTACTACCTGTTGGCGAGACGGGAGATTATTTAATGCCCTCATTCATAAATACAGGTATTTGCACTTTTGTTAAGGTTGTATGAGGAAATAATAATTCTGAGGCGTTAGAAAGTGGCGAAGATTTATCATTACAACTTGAGGTCTGTTTGATAAAGCATGCATCGTACATTATAGAAATTATTTTGAGGATCGGCGGAAGGACGAGACTCGAGCCAGGATCGACGGAACAGAAGGTTTTTATTTGTTAACTATTTACAGGTGATTCAGCACCTTCCCTGCTTGACAGCTATTTATATGGGTTCCACCACAAATGTGCGAACGACAAAAGCGCGCCTGACTAAACCGCGGTGACAAAACCGCGCCGATGAATGAGCGCTGAAGCGCGCCGACAGAAGCGCGCTGTAACATAACCCTAAAAATAACCCTAAACCTAATCCTAAACCTAACCCTAAACCTAACCCTAAACCTTACCTTAACTTAAATCGCGTTTCTGTCANTCAAGTACCCTGATCCAATACCATGAAGGGCTTTATAAATTACGACTAGCACTTTTGACTGAACTGAACTGAAGCATATCCGGAGACCTATAGGTAGCCAGTGCAGCTCGTGGAGGATAGGTGTAACGTGGGTGTACCGAGGTGCACCCACAATCGCTCGCGCGGCTGCATTCTGGACGAGTTGAAGTCTCCGAATACTCTTCAAGGGCTGCCCCATGTAGAGCGCATTGCAGTAGTCCAGTGCACACAGGGTCATACCAAGTTACTTTGAGTTTGTTTTAATTGAAATTGCAATTGCTGCTGAAAGCAAGCTGTGAGGGAGTATCAGTCTACCTATTGCTGAATGATTCAAGTTGTTAGTAGGCTATTAGCGATCAGATCGATCCTCCCCCCACTCTGTCACACATTCTGTGTGTTGCTTCTTTCCCTTTCCACTCAAAGGGAGAGGGAGGGGAAAAAGAAAGAAAGAGAGAGGGGGAGAGGGAGGGAGGGAGGGAATGAGAATGCACTGAATCAGAGCAAAGAGCAAACTGGCAGGAGAGACAGCAGAAAAAGGCACATCAAACATGGCAGCGCTGTAAAACACTCCTTCTTTAAAGAGAGGGAGAGAGAGAGAAAAAAGATAGAAGCAGAAGAGATGGGGGAGGGGGAACAGGGTGGGATGAGGGAGAATTGCACCAGTCATTCTCAGGCACTGCCTTTTTAAGTTGCAGGTGAAAGTGCCAGTGCTCCAGCTCTAGCGAAGAACACCCGAGCTTCAAGACTGTGAGCAGACTCAATAAGAGCTTTCAGCACCTTCCCTTAAAAACACAAAAAGAAAGTCTGATTACAAACCTTTGGCTCTGTTGGAGAGAGAATTTCAAAAAAAATTTGGCACATGACAGCACTGTATATAAAGCCTTAACAAGCCCCAGTGCCTTTTGGAGAACCCGTGTGCTGGGCATGGGCTTGTTAAGGCTTTATAAAGAGAAACAGAGGAAGAAAGAAAGAGAAAAAAAGAAAGAGAGGGATAGAGAAAGGAAGAGAAAGGAAGGAAGGGATAGAGAAAAGAGAGAGAAACAAAGATAGAAAGAGAAAGAGAAAGAAAAAGAAGAAAACTTCTTTTGAAAAGGAGAAAAACAAATGCTGTTGCTTTAAATCGGAACTGAACATGCCTGGATGTGGAATTCTTGGAGTTGCTTATAACTTTAAATGAAAAAGGTGCAGGGAACAACAAATTGGTTATATGGTTATATGTTATATGGTTTAATGTTTTTGAAGTTTTGGGGTTTGTGCAATATGGGGTTTGTGTTTCTAAAAGGGTCTGGATGATTCCCTGCTTGTGAATGGAGCCAAACTTTCTCTAGGGTCATTATTTCTATCTGGCAGGAATGTGGAATGAGCCTCAGGCAGGTTTCTTTGTTAGCAAAAAGAAAAACAGCACAGCAAATTAGGGCTAGAAGGCTACTCGGAGGTCATCTAGTCTAAACTCATGCTGCAGCCGGAAACCTTATATTGTATGGATTATTTTGGTCCCTCTAACATAGAGGAAAATTTCCAGAAAGGAGAAGGAGTTTACTAGGACAAGGCTGCCATGCAGAGGAAGACAGAGATAGTCCTTAACTTATGACTACAATTGAGCCCAAAATTTTGGTGGCTAACAAGAGCATTGTTAAATGAGCTTCCCTGCATTTTACCCAATCCATGACATCTCCTGGTGAATGACATCAAGTTGGCCATTACCACCTGGTCACATGACTGCCAAGTCACTCCCACCCCTGTCACATGACCGCTGAGCCACCCCCCACAAAACAGGCCACACCTACAGAATAGGTTCCAAAAAGTTTTGATATCCATCCCTGGAGCAGAATATCCTTGTAACAATTGACAAAAATGTTTAAAGAAGCCGCACGGATTCAACTGTTTCGCAATCCTGGGAAATTACATACTTAATACAATGCTAACTACTGTTACTTGCATGCCCATGCACAGTTCAAATCCAGTTTCATCTTTGGGATTTGGATTTCTGCACCATGCTAACTGGTTATAGTTAGTTTTTAAATTATGTAAGAATCAAACTTATTTTCCCATGCCAGTTTATACACTGAGAAATATTGATTAAAAAAATCAACTGCAATGTAATCACTATAAATAGGAACAGTCACCTATAGATATGCATCATAATGTCCTGAGGTCCCAAGAGGCCAGCAGATACTTCCTTTGATATATGTCAAGATCACCTTCCACTTTGAATTTTTATCATTTTTTACACACACACACACACACACACACACACANCCCCCTGGTCACAGCCGACAAATGGTGTTCTAAAGTCAGCTGTGGATCCAGGAGGACCCCCCAGTTGCGAGCCCTGACTGAGGGGCATAGATTTTCACCCCCCAGCCTGAGTGATGGAATATTGACCAAGTTTTTGGGAGGGAAAGACAACAGCCACTCGGTCTTGTTGGATAACTAGAAGATTCTATAAATTGTTAAGTGGTGATTCTGCTGTAAGGCTATTGTCTTCCCATTATGAGCTTGAAATCTGACAATAATTCCTAAATTTAATTAAAATAGGTTTAGAAAACTAGCAGACTACTAATAGAGAAGATATTTTCTCCCATTAATTTGTAGAAGCCGTTATAGAGATGCGTGAAGGCCACTAACTTGGGTGGTTTTAAAGGGGAAATCGGATAAAATTGATGGAGGTCAGATCTATCAAGTGTTAGCTCTACACATTGTAGAGTTAATGTGACCTTTATGCAGTGGTGTATTAACCATTAAGCAGATTAAACACATGCTTAGGGCACCAGGCCCAAAAGGGGCACCACAAAGTTGAGAAAGAAAAAAAACCCCAATGAAGATTTGTACAATATGTACACAGGAGGGGGACACCAAGATTTATCAGTGGTTAGGACACCAGTGAGCCTTTATGGGTGGGGAAGCACTCCTCAAAATTACAGTATGAGCAAGCATATGGAAGTAAACAAAAACAATGTTAGACCAATACCATATAGAAAAAAACTCAATTAAAATTGCCCCAAATTTCATGAACATTTATAGTATTACAACCATCTCCAATCTTCCTGAGAAATTTCAAACTTCTGCATTTTGCATCATTAGATAGAAAAATATACAGGTAGTTTTGAGATTGGTGGTGTGTGTGGGTATATCCGTATTTAAAGAAAGGCAGATGATGGATCTGATTTTAGTTAGCAGAGTATTTTACTCAGCTTTGCTACATTTTCGCACTTTGAGTGGGAGGGATATTTTCTGCTCTCTTTACCAAACAACCCACCCTGCTTTGGGGCATTATACATTTTTTGCACAAATGCCTCTGACATTTGTTACTCCATCTCCAGTAACTCTATTTCGGATGTACTGATTTCATATTTTTGGTTCCTCCCACAGCTAGTGGAATGGCTACCAATAACACATCAGTGGGTGCTTCTGCAGGGGGAAAAGAGGAATCCCTCAGAAGGTCATGTTTGCCTCAGCACAAAAGGGTGTTTGTGTATGTTTGCCTTAGGCCAGCTTGGAGAGCGCCAGAATGCATTTGTCTCTGTCTCTCCTGTTCAGCCCGGGACGCGCGCTTTTAGCAGACCCAGCTCCATAAGTCTGGAGCGAAACCAAGCCAGGACCAAGCCTCCCAGACATAAAGCAGCTCCCCTGGGCGAGAAAAGGCGGGCCTGGATATGCATAGACCGACCCCCTTTTGCAGGCCTAGCTGGCTCTTGCCTTGGGGATCGTTCCTATAGAAGGAGGAGGGAGCGATGCTGCTGCTGCTGCTGCTGCTGGGGATGGTTATGTCAGGCGGGAAGGCGGGCGGCGGCGGGAGGAGGAGCAGCGGCAACAGCGAGAGGACCGCACCAGCTCCAGCAGCAAGGAGCAATGCCGCACCACGGAGCAGGATCCTGGTTGCAGTCCCACAGCAAACCCAGCGGAGCGGCTCTTACCACCCTCTTGCTGACAGGTTGGTGTCTGCCGAGCCCCCGCTTGGGCCCAGCCCTTCCCGCTTAGATGGCACATCCTCCTTCGACCACGGCCTGCCACCCCGTTGCTCCCCATGCCCGACCCTTTTCAAGCGGGGGGTTCCCTCCTTCTCGACTCTGCCCTGATGCCAGCCTTCTGTCGCTGCTCCCGCTGCAGCAGCTCGCTGTTTTTCCCCTGCCCGCACTTCCTAAAGCAGCTGCCCCGGGAGGGTTCAAATTTTTTTTGTTTTGTTTTGCGGGCAAGAAAAGAGGGAGCAGTTGGGATAGTTGTCTGCAAAAGGCATTGCCTTCCCTGGCCAGATGCCATTCCCTTCCCCCTTTCATAACATCAGGGCATCTTGCAGAAAAATATTTTTAAAAATGCATTACTACTGGGTTTTTTTTACAATCATGAAAACAACCCACAAACGCGAGCAGATTACCTTATAGAGGAATATATTTAAGGATCAGTTAATATTGTATGTTAACACATGGTGTATTTAAAATATATGCGGGAGCTCCAATATTTTTTTTTAAATCTTGCATTTCAAAGAAAATAGAGGGAAATGTGCTTTTTATAAAAATAATAATAATAAGACAACATGCATGCAGAGGTGTTATAATTCCCCCATATTTTCTCCTCCATATAGTTCTAAACTGAATTCTGAATTCTGATTGTGTTCTGCAAAAGCTGAATGGATAGAGGCTACTTTCCTCTTTTGCAGATCAGGCAAGCCATTAATTAGCAATGCTTTCTGTCATTCCTGAGCTTGGTTGGAGTAACAGGCACATTTTTCCATTCTTGGTTATGTGGATAAAAGCTGAGCAATACCAGCAAATGGAGATGAAAGTAACCAAAAAAGGAAAACAT